AGAAAAACGGAAGAAATTCATGTGTAAGCTTGCATTTTGGGAGGTGCCGCGCGCTATGTATACCTGAATCAGGGCTCGGCACAGCTGGCACCGGGTCAAGCTGGATATCGTTTCTAGGGCGGGAAGCAAAGGGGACATCGTTTTTTTCGGGGTCCGCGGCGGAGAAGTGCCGCAAGAATGCCGCCGGCATGCCACCGGCATGCTGTCCATCAACAAACAAAGGCCTCGTTCTCAGCCAAAATGTAATAGTATGATACCAAATTTGGTGTGTACATGCGCGTTGGTGGACCGGAACTATAGCCCAAAAATTTATGAAAACTTATGTGAATGAAAGCTATGCCGAACTTTTTTCTGAATTAGCTGGCACCGTGCCAGCTGGGTGCCAGCTGAGCTGACACCGACACTTTGCTCACATGAGTTTTCATACTTTTCTACATAAAATGTATCTATACTGTAAAAGTTTACATACAGAGAAGAAACATTTTCATAATGTTTTCTTTTCAGCGTTTTCTAGCAATTTTAAAATTACTCAGTCTGCTCCGCAATCGAAAAATGGGCTTTTCTGCTTCTCAAGATTCAACCACTTAAAAAGCTCAGAAATTTGTGAAAAGTGGTTCCATGAAATCAGCATGCATGAAAACCCTACTACATACTTTTACAGAATCCAAAAATAATGACTTGTCTTCAAACTGGTCAAAGGGGACTTCGTACGAAATTTACAAGATCAAAGGAGACTTCGTTTCGAAATTTCCCTGGTGCCAGCTCGCGCCGAGCCCTGACCTGAACTCAGAGCTGAACAAACGAAGATAGAGGTAAGAAACGTTGCTCAACAACATTGAAACCGTCAGTTTTGACTCGTACATATTGAAGCACAAGAAGTAGCAATGTTTAACAGTAAGAAAAAAGAAAGAAAAACATATGCAAGCTTGAACTATGGGCGACATCTGCGCTCTGCCGCAACCGACTTGCTCCAGCTCAATATTGAATTTATCCACTGGCGACTAATGGAGTGAGGACGACTATATCATCAATAAGCTTTCCTCTTGCTCTTTCTTATATTGAATCGGTCCGAAAGTTCGCGCCGTTTTCCAGACCCGTGCTAAAAGCACTTCGAATGAAGGTAGACAAATGCTGTAAGCAATATCGGATGCAGAATTTTTCTTCTTTCTAACGGTTACGTTTTTGTTCAGATTCCTTTAATATCCGCTCAATAATCGGCAGAGATCTCCATCTCATGATTTTTACCCATTTCAGTTTGGCTAGTTTTTGAAATTTCTATTCAACTTTTGGAATAGCTTTGATAACAGTTGGATAGACTACACAAAATGCAATACAATGCATTTTTGTGGCATCTCTTGCTGGCTTCTCAAAATTTTGAAAAGTATTTTTTTGATACTATCAAATTCCATCTTTAGGTATCTCAATCTCCATCATTACTTATAATAACGGGCTAAGGATGTTTACGTGTTTTTGTGTGTGTGTAAGTCTGTCTGTCTGTCACGAAATTCGTAAAACGTGTTCCAGCCAGCCTCCTGAGCCCAAATTTTGCACAACGCATGCTACCAATATGAGAGTCCACTAAACAAAAGCACGAGCGAATTCGTTGTGTGGAACCCTAAAAAAATGCGCGTCAATCGGATCCACTCAGCTTTTGACCACTAAAATTAAGCCTGTATCACAACTTTTTGCAAATTCACGGATATGTTTGATAACTTTATGTGCAAGCCATGGACTTTAGCCTAAAAAAATTAAACTAAAGTTCATTACCTTGCGAAAAAGGCGCCAAAAAGGATTGGTTGCGTAAATGTTCAATTTGTCAAGATCTTACCCGATTATTTGAAAAGAATTTTGCACAGTGATGTAGCCCAGGGTAATTACTGTATCTTATGGCGACTACCAAACCATAAGAAGTCCAAAAACCGGTTCAAATTTGCATTTATTCTTCTCGGAAAACTTTCATCCACGCGAAAATACCGATTTCACACAAAAAAGCTCTCAGAATAAGTAGCTGTTTACAAATCATTCGTGATAGCCTGCATAGCACGGTGACTTTCATTGTCATTATTATGGGAGGAATGAGTAAGGCATACAGAAATTAAAGCCAGTGCAAGCCTCTGCGAAGCAGAGGTGACGCACTGGTAGAACAATAAACGGATTGCAACCGAGGTGTCATCCGATGCAGCTTTTTCTTCTTTTTCTATATGACTTCTTTTCTTCCTGATTTTTATGATGTTTGAGGATAAAATCACTATAACTTTTGTTTTCAGAAGTGTCTTATGTTGTACTTAGAAAATTCGGAATTCAATATTTCGAAACATCTATTGCATTTAGACGATCAGTTGCTTGCTAAGATTAGTGCTAATTGATGATCTGTTTTTGGAATTCCTAATTCCGAAAGTTTGTCAGTGTTTGAAGCGACTGTGTGATCCGCGAATTCGCAATAAGGGCATTTGGAAAAACCATTTTGAGAAATACTGAAGAGTTAGTTGATGAAGACCAAATATTTCATTGTATTGCATTTAGATTATTCTATATTTTATCAAAACTAGTTTAAAGGTTGAAAAGGGGAATTCTAAAAAATAGCCAAACTGAAGATGGGTGAAAGTCATGGGATGGAGATCCCTGCCGATTATTGAGCGGACATTGAGAGAATCTGAACAAAAACAAACCATCAGAAAGAAGAAGAAATTCGCACCGGATAGTGCTTATGGCGTTTCTCTATCTTCATTCGAAATGCTTTTAGCATGGGTCTGAAAGCGCGAAATTTCGACCGACCTGGTTAGGTTAGCCCGAAAGTTCTGTCGCACATCCTCAAAAATTCTAACTTCTGATTTTTTCAACCGATTTGACTGCTTTTATTTTTGTATGAAATAGTAAGTCATGCTCTTTATAATGACATTTCAGCTGCTTACTAGTGGCCACCTGTTGCATAGATAGGACGGGTAGAAGAAAATTGCCCCTATGACCCTACACAGAAAATTGCAAAATTTGAATTTTCTGTGTAGGGTCATAAAACATCGGAAACTTGCAACAAAAAATCGGAGCAGCCTATTGCAGGTTCCTTCACCAGCTCTTTCTAACAATTTATTTGCGCCGATTGAACGTCTCTATGAAAATTTACGATTTTCGAGCAAGCAATGCAAAATTGCGAATTTGATTTATTTTGACATTTCAGGGAAATCATAAATTTTCATAGAGACGCTCAATCAGCGCAAACTTTGCACAGAAAAGGAGATCCACCCAAACTACCAATTTAAATAATTCGTTAAAAACCTGAAACACTGTTTAATAAAATCTGAGACGGTTAGTGGTGACCAAAAAGCTAAGAAACGATCATACGAACTTTCAGAAAAGAAGTCTGATCTCAGCGATTAGGTCGCATCGCTCTTTCAAAGTAGCGATGCAACATCGATGAGATTCGGGCAAATCGCGACGATTTCAGCGAAGAAGTCTGCCCGAGAAAAAATGGTCTACTTGATATATACACGGCCTTTAGTTTGTAGCTTGCTTTGAACTATTTCATTGCGGCAAAAGTGAGTAAGTGATGCTGTCGCAGTTTTTGAAAATAATTTGGCTACGTAGTTGGCACAGAAAGTAAGTTCGGCTTATGCAAAAACTGCTCGAGATTGATGATGCAACTCAAAAGTGACCTCTTACGTTTCTATCAAAAGTGCGAAGGCAGGTGATGATGCAACAGAGTTCGGACTTGTGCTAGCGATTTTCTGTTAAAAAATTTTTTACACTTATAGTTTTGACTGAAATCGCCATCCGCGGGTTTTGATATTTTGCCTTCATATGAGTCTTCGGAAAGACGATGCGAATTTATCAGTTATTAGCTGGCGTACCCGGCTCCGCCCGGCCCTGTCAAAACACTATGATAAAGCTCTCATCCCTTTCCCTGTGCCCGTCTACATGCCATATTGCCGCTGTTTTAGTAATCAGCATGCCCACTTACCCCACTATGCCAAATACCAGTCTCGTAGGTCTAACTTTGCGAAAAATTGATGAAATCGATAAAAGTAACGGATAATTTCAGAATATTTATTCGTAATCAGTACGCTCGATTACCTATGCCAACTCTCAGCCCCGTTGCTCAAACTTTACAAAAAAATCGATAAAATCGGTAAAAGTAGTAAATGATTCTAATCGTAAGAACTAATAACGTACTCGTAACCAGCATACTCGACTGCTCCCTATGCAATCTCCCTGTCCCATGGCTCAAACTTTGCAAAAAATCGATAAAATCGATAAAAGTAATAAACGATTCTAGAACTAATAATGTATTCGAAATCAGCATGCTTGATTACCCCATTATGCCAACTCCCAGTCTCGTAGATTAAACTTCGCAAAAAATCGTCAAAAATTAATAAAATCGATATCGATCGATGACGAAAAAAAGCTTAAGACAACTGCCCCGCCCAGTAGTGTATACGTGCCAAGTTTGGTCCGAATCGTTTCGGAAAGAATTCTATTTGAAACCTACATACACACACAACACACAGTATGATAACACTGTGGCTGTGATAATACAGTATGTTTCTTCAAACATGATAGAAAACAATTCACAATTTCTCGAAACTTTTATGCAGCAAAATTTGCACTCTCATCTACGAATTTTTTTAAGGCACGACGTCTAAGCAACTGACAGTCTACTTTCCGTAGCATTGAATAAATAAGTAGTTAAACATTGCCTGTTCACTTTGAATAGCGAAGATTTTTTGAAAAAAAAAACAATCAAAAAAAATAAAAATTTGCGAGGGTTAGATTTTATCTATTGGATTTTATCTATAAGCCTAAATCAAGACTCAATAGTATGACATAATATCGTTGGAGCAAAGTGTGCGGTTGTAAGCTTTCGTTGTCTGAATTAAATAGAGTAGTTTTATAGCATTTTCTTATTTGCCCCACGCAAACAACAAAAATGCCACATGATTGGATGTTTTCTGTAGGGATTGAGCAATTTACAACTGTTGTTTCCGCGAGAACTTTATATAAAATTTTCAAAGAGCCTCTTGTGTAGGCATAATCAAGGAAGGCAAAAATGAAAATGATAGAATGCAAAAGCAAATGGAATAGAAGAGTTTTGAGGATGACTGTGTTGGCGTTGTCTGAGTAACAGTCTGCGTAGGATGCGAGGGAGAAGACGTCTCTGATGACTGAGGATGGTGAGTTGTCAGCCTTGAAGTTTGCGAAGGAATCGTCGTCTCCGATGTATCTGCACGGCACTTTTTTTGGCACTGTATCCTTTGATTCAACTGGCATGGCTTCGGGAAGGCGGCTCTTTATGACCTTAAGAACAGTACATCGGCAGAATAAGACCCGTGACAAAACAAGGTCGCAGGGTAGGAGCCCCATATGGAATCTATCGGCCAAAGTCCGATCTTTCTCTGCCACTTCTAACCCCGAAATTCAAAGCAAAAGCAGCGTCATCTCCTCTCCTCTCCGACCCGCCCACCCTATGGACGAGTGAACGCGAAGCCCGTCATGGCGAAGACGCAGAGTCGTTGCGGGTCCTCATGCTTATAGCAGTGCGGCTGGCGCTCTCACCGCGGAAGTCACTCGTCCATGGGGTGGGCGGGTTCGGAGAGGACAAGAGATGAGCGCTGCTTTCGCTTTGAAATTTCGGGGGTTAGAAGTGGCAGAGAAAGATCGGAATTCGGCCGATAGGTTCCATATGGGAGCTCTTACCCTATGACCTTGTTTTGTCACGGGTCTCGTTCTGCCGATGTACTGCCTTTGAAGACAGTGGCTCGGCAGATTGTGACATGTGGCAAAACAAGGTCACAATGTAGGAGCCCCCCTAATGGAACCTATGGGCCAAAATTCGATCTTCTTCTTTGTTACTTCTAAGCCCCCAAATTTCAACGCGAAAGCAGCGCTCTTCTCCCCTCCTCTCCGACCCCGCCCATCTAATTTCAAACATGGACGGGTGGCAAAGCCCGCCATGGCGAAGACGCAGGGTCGTCGCGGGAGCCTATAGCATTGCAGCATGAGCGCTCTGACTGGTGGAAGGGAAATCGCAATGTGGTCGGGGTCCGAGGGGAGGGAGATGGAAGCGCTGTTTTCAAGTTGAAATTTTGAGGGTTAGAAGTAACAGAGAAAGACCGAACTTCCGCCCATAGGTTCCATTATGGGGGCTCGTACCCTGCGACCCTGTTTTGCCACGGGTCTCATTCTGCCGGGCCACTGCCTTTAAGGCCGCTCGTGCCCGCGACGCGCCTGCCTCTCCCTCACGCGGGTCTCTTCTCTGATCATGACCTAGCCCTGATTTTAGGTCACGAAGCTCCGCCTTTCCGCAGCCAAGCCATTTGAATCAAATAGTAAAAACAACCGTTTTTTGTATGTGATTACCAATTTTTGAAGCCAGCGAGATAGCTACAACGGGAAAAACATCTATCTCAGCTGCGCCTGAAGCGTATATTATTAGGGGTAAAAGGAGTAACGTATAGATTAGTTACCATCGCTTTCAACTGTGATATTTTTTCCTGTGCATACACCATCTTTGAGATATCCGCTCCACACATCGCAATACGTACCTCCAGGCAGCGTCGTCTGATAAACTCTATAGAAAAGGGGTTAGTTCGAAGGAGATTCAACGGTAGTTCAAACCTCGTAAATGGAACAAGACTTTCAGTGATGGCGAAGAATCCCTTTCCTTTACGTGCAAAAGCAAGAGCGCGGAACTTCTCGACTATCTTGAAAATTTCTATCAAAGACAGACACATAGGACATCATGGTGTTGAAAAAGTATAAATACAGTGTCCCAAAAAAATGTGCTTACTGTTGGATCGTTAATAACTCTCTTGCTTTCATGTCTTCTGCCGAGCTTGAAGTACCATTCTGTGGAGCGAGGATAAACTTAGATGTACAGTATGGAGCGAACCACTAATCACTCTTCGTTACTGTAGAATCACGGTATGAACTTTCAGCATATAGCCTCACTGTGAAATAAGCCTTTTGATGAAATAATCCGAAAAAATCTGAAAATTCGTGTAGCAAGGTTTTGAGGTGTGCTGATTTCACTACACGACTTTCGCCCTGTTTTTCGAGCTTTCTTGATGGCGTATTCACATTTCTAACAAACACTGGAAAATCAGTTGTTACCCTAAATTTGAAATAACTCATGAAAGAAGCAGTGTATTGACGTGCAATTTTCATATTTAGAATCAGCAATTCAATTAACCCAGTTCAAGAGTTTCTGGCTTGTTTGGCTTTCTTTCTGAAGCAAAATACCGCTTTCAATGGCTTAAATTCCCCTCGAAATTCCTACCGTAATCCTACAGTGATGAAGAGCTGCTGATAAGTCGCTCCATACTGTAAATCTAAGCTGAACCTCGCTTTAAAGAATGGTACCTCAAGCTCAGCAAAAGACATGAAAGCAAGAGAGTTATTGGCAATCAAACAGTGTGCACATCTTTTTAGGACACCCTGTAGAATATTAATACATTGTCGAAAATGTATATTTGAAACCCGTTGGTACTCTACCTCAGTAACTTCAGCACCATTGACCACAGATCGAAATTTTGCCATCTCCCTAAAGCAAACATGCACAAAAGAGTGCTTTTTTTGAGGTTGAGCCAGACAGCGCAGCGTAGCCCAACGCTTGAGGCGCTTGCATCGGCACACTTTTATATAGGGCCTGCATGATCGTTAAAGCCGGACGTGCGTACGGCCGTCCGATGTCACTGAGGCAGGCGCCAGACTTATCTTGTTTAACGGGCTCGTCCCGTTCACTTATCCGCTATCGCTCAAATCAATGCGGTGACCAATAGCAGAGGGGGTGAACAGAATGAACCTGTTTAACAAGGTGAGTCTGGCACCTACAGTGACACCCAAAAAAAAAATGCGGACAAGTCGGCCTTCTTTTTCATCGCTCATTTTCAGATGAAAAACAAAGATGAAAATGATCGAATTGCATGTGGTGATAGAGCTCATCAAGAGCTACAACCCACACATTCGCTTTCTGGAAAACATGTATTATAAAAGTTTTGAAAACTTTTTCTAAAAAAAGTCCGAAAATCCCAATGTCGCGGACAACAATTTTTCGAACGCGAAAATTTTCTGTTAGGTCTTTTCTTGGGGCAAGAACAGAAGTTATCCGGACAGGTAAGCATCACATCCTTTATGTTATATAATATGTACTGTTAAATACTGTTTTTAATTTCCAACCGGCCCTGACTTACTAAACTTGAATGAAGTTAAAATGCAGATTTGTGCCGATGATATTAAACTTTATGCATTTTCGAATGAAGAAAATTATCATAATATGCATGCTGACTTCAATCTTCTATTGAAAGATTGAACTGGGATATAAGTAATGGACTGGCGAAAAATCCCTGCAAATGTTCCTTCTTACATCTGGGCCGGTTTATTGCCATGAACTATGAGATCAATGGAGTCGAACTAACGATGAGTCCAGTAGTTAAAGATTTGTGAGTCCCGATAGATTCTCGACTAAGTATTGCTGATCATATCGATTTTGCAGTAAAGAAAGCGTACTTTAAATTATTTTCAATCTTTCGAAATATCCACTTGATTGATAAAGCGATACTGACTAGACTCTATAACGCATATGTGAATCCTCATTTGAAATATTGCTCTCAGGTTTGAAGTCCAACACTCAAAGGATATTTTGAAAATTGAAAAAGTTCAACGAACTTTCACACGTATGCTAATTTCACGAATATCTCGGAAAACCTCCTATAAGACTTTGCCTGATTACAAAAAACGCCTCAAGATAATGGGACTGAAATCGCTAAGTTGCAGGAGACCTATGGCTGATTTGACCTTCTGCTTTCGAATTTTGCGCAAAGGATTGACCTCCGGGCCAGCAGCTTCTGAGTGTTCAAACCAGTAAGCTGCAGACTTGGAGGTTTCAATCTCTATAATCCTGGACCCATAAAATGTTTCTACACAGGACTCTTCAATTGTCTTCTATATCGTTGTGCTCGGTGGTTTGTAAACTACCTGCAAAACTTTTAGTCGCTAAAACAAGCCACCCATTCAAAAAAGCTTTGTCAATCATTGGTTTCTCTGAACATTTGGTTGTAAATTATATCCTTCGTAATCTTTTTCACTCCAATATTTTTTCAGGGTTGAGCTTATGGAATTTTGTCTTAAATTTTGGTCATATGGTTTTTTAAATTCATTTCATGCTCGGTTCATTCCTTCAGATTCTGCTTTTCCGGTGCTTATTTTGTTCTGCATATTTATTTTGGCTTCTCTAATTTTATGGATCCAAAATGAGACGTACTTCCCCATTATCGATTGTCACGAGAAATTTCATAATTCGCCTTGACTACTCAGTTTGGAGACTTATTTTTTGCTGTCCCATCTACATATATAGCTTATATGTGCTTGATGTTACTATATACTTACAATCGCTTTGGCTAATCAGTCACACTGCACCTTCTTTTTTATATACTACTAGATGGCAAACCCGGCTCCGCCCGGGGCCAAACTTTGCACACATACACTTCGGGGCAGGGAGCGTGTCATAGTCCACTTTTCGTTATCGATCGATGTCGATTTCACCGATTTTTTGCAAAATTTGAGCTACGGGGCTGGGATTTTGCACAGGGGGGGTAATCGAACATGCTGATCACCCCCACGGGGGTGATCAGCATGTTCGATTACCCCCCTGTGCAAAATCCCAGCCCCCTTCAAATTTTGCAAAAAATCGATAAAATCGATATCGATCGATAACGAAAAGTAGCCTATGACACGCTCCCTGCCCCGAAGTATATGTGTGCCAAGTTTGGTCCCGATCGGTTCAGAAATAAAAATTTCTATTCCGCACATACGTACAGACATACATACAGACAGACATACATACAGACAGACATTCAGCTTTATATATAAGATTGTCTCATCCTCAAAAACCTTTGCATCCTTTTCTGTATAAATGACTCGACTTACACCCAAACGTTCATCCATACCTATGAGTATCTCGATACTTGGTATAAAGGCAATATATATTTCACACATGCTTATATATTTACAAATGATTTCTTACTGCATTATTACTTCTTCTTCTACGTTGTCAATTTCTCTGATCTTGCATTCTTATTCAATTTATTGCATGCACGGAGGAAGTGCGGGTGGCTGGTAGTCGAGAAAGTCCTAGGTACGGATGGATTTTGCCATATCGCCCAGGTACTATCCGCCAAAGCGTACCACTCGAGAGTGATGAGTCACGTCCCATCATACTCCGTTATTTTAAGCTTAGTGTAATTTCCTCAAGAACGCGTCATTTCAGAGCTTTGATAACGTTCGAGAGACATATATTGCCTATATGCAGTACAGATTTGTTCCGTCATCAAATGGACCTGAGATTTTGAGTGTAACAATATTCTAATTTATTATTTTCTCTTATGTACTGTGGCTAGGTTGCTCTGTATTTCCACCCACATCTTTTTTTGGTGCAACCTTGAGTGTAATAGATAGAGATAAAGATAAAGATATATTGTAGAGCTCATCGAGGAAAATAATCGGATAATGGTCACTTCCAAAGAAAATCCAAACTTGCACTTTCTTTTGTTTTGTTTTTTCAAAAAAAAAAATTCTAATTCTCTTCTTCAAGCCAAATTTCTTCGCATGGAAACATATTCAAGACATTCCATCAAGGCTATTCGGATAAAATGGATGCTCTTTGCCATACTTTGTGCATCGGACATGTGCTGGTGAGTTTCTTTGTTTAAGATGGCTCTTTTTTGCACATGACCCCACCTGCACCTCACGCTCACTTGCACCGCTTTGCAGGCTTTTAGCACGGCTGGCAGTCATCCTACGAGATTGAGTGTAGGCTCATTGAAGAGCGTGATTCCTCGATAAGAGATTATGCAAATGAGTTGAGCTCGAGAAATTCCGGAGATTTTACGGAGGGTGAAAAAGCGCAATTTTAGAGGTGAATGGAGTGAAGGCTCTTAACACTAAAACGGTCTTAGAGCTCCGAAATGGATTTTGAACTTCCAGGATGACACTAGTGTCGGAAGAAGCTTTGCTTAATTTTAGCTGAAAAATCCTTAGCCTACTGAAGTTGTGCTTTTTCACCCATCCGTAAAATCTCCGGGATTTCTCAAACTCAGCTCATTTGCGCACCATCGAATGAGACTACTTTGAGCTCGTAGAGTGACTGCCGGCCGGATACAAGCCTGCAAAGCGGTGCAAGTCAGCGGTGAGGTGCAGCTGGACTCATGTGCCGCACTGTCAAGAGCCATCTTCAGCAAAGGATCTCACCAGCACACGTCCGATGCATAGAGGATGGCGAGCATTCATTTTATCCGAATAGCCTCAATGGAATGTCTTGAATGTTTGTCTTAAGTAGTAGTGAAGAAACTTGGCTTGAAAAAATTCAAGCTTGGGTTTTTTGGAAGTAACCATTATCCGATTATTGCCCTCGATGAGCTCTATAACATAGTATGCTTACCTGTACGGATAACTTCTGTATTGGCTCCAAAAAAACCTAACAAAAATTTTCGCGTTCGAAGAATTATTGTTCGCGACGTGACGCGGCCATTTTCGGACTTTTTTAAAAAGTTTTTCAAAACTTTTATAAAACATGTTTTCCAGAAAACGCAATGAGTGGGTTGCAGGCTTAGGCTTACGAAAAACCCGATCATTTTTCATCTTTGTTTTTCATCTGAAAATGAGCGATGAAAAAGGAGGGCGACTTGTCCGCAACTTCTTGGCGGTCAATATATAAAGCATTCGAAAAATTGTGATGACAGCGCGACCGCGCGCGACACGCACGCATATTCCGACAGCCGCATTTTCTTGGTTTTACTCTCTAGTTCAATGCTTTTTCTGCTTAGGTATTACAGTACTTGGGCACTTGAAGTGACTGAGCTGAGCGTTAAGATGATGTCTTTTTGTATGAGGATGTTATGCTCCTCTGGGCGCAAAGACCGCAGTCAAATTCGTCGTCACGATTTTATAAATGAACCTTACCTGAGTCGTGGGACGGACATCGGACGTGCGCGGCGCAATGTCCGTACGCACGTCCGACTCTCGCTATCATGCAGGCCCCTGTAACTATTGTAACTGAATCACCCACCATTGTGTCATGAACGCTGTTAGCGTGCCCAGCATATGCTTCGAAGTCTGACCCAATTTTTTAGAACTGATCAGTTCTATTGAAATGTCGATAACTTGCAGTTGATAAAAATATCAAAGTTTTTGGCTTTTTGGTGTTGCTTCAATGATTTTGAGAAGTATGTACACAACCTGATAACCGGTAACCGATGTTCGCAAACAAAGCCGGACGACTCATCACATGTAAGGTCTTCGTTGAACGTTGGTGATTTGGTCTATACCAATAGACCGCCAAAATAAAGTTTAGAGGTAATTGTTCAATCTTAATTGCTAGACTACCTCGTATTCTGCGGGACCTCCATTTGGCGGTCCCTGATCTTCGTTGTCGAAATAATAGCCACTCATGACTCTTGGGACGCCATAGGGCCATGCCAACATAAAAGCGACTGCGTAGTTGTATCGCTGATGTCTGATGTCTGTGTTGTTTTTGTATGTCATCTATAAATTATTTTCAAATGCATTTGCAATTTTTGGAACCTTTCCGTTATAAAAATTCTAGCTATTTTTACTTACAATTTCCCAATTTTCCCTTTGAGTGGCGGGATTGTCAATCAAGACTAATGCATCGTTGCTTGCAGAGTGATGGTACCCACGAAAATAACCAGGTCCAAGCTTTTGCAAATCGCTGCAAAACCATTTGTATCTTTCGGCAGTATCTTTGGTTGTCATAGACTTACTTCCAAGAGTAATATCCCCTTGCTGCTCTCGATACGATCAAACTATAGGGAAAATTTACGCACCTGGAAAAAAGGCCTAGAGTCTCCGAAAAAAAACTCACAGCTTCTAAAACCTTCCAAGCTCGGTATATTCGCTGCATTGAATCGATATATTTCCCATAACATCGACTTCGTGCGCGAAAAATGGGCGCTTGTTTGTGCCAAAAATCTGATAAAGTGACAAATAACATCTCATCCCAACCTTTGTTACAGAATTTTACGTCTTCTCTCAGATCCTTTACACTTTCTTGAATGGACTGCAGGTCTTGAGGCCTCATATATGCTGCCGCATTTATACTAAAGTGACTTTTTACATAATCTCGACTATTGCAAAGTGCTGAAAGTGTTTCTAACTTGAATCCGGCTACGCCAATATCAACCAGATGATTGAGGTAGTCTATGATTTTTTGTTGAACATGTGATCTACTTTGATCCAAATCAAGCAACTGGTGAAGTCGACAATCCCTTACCTGAACTGTTCGAATAATTCTAAAACTGCCTACTTCTTTTACCCTCTGTGGACTGCTTTTGATGTCTTCAGGTTTGACATCTTCAGTGCAATTGTGGAAATCCAAAGCATAGTATGGAACCTAAAAGCAACATTTGATAGCAAGGAAGTTGATCATGTGATGTTAATTATGTCTGTTCTTTAACGCAAATCACGATCGTAAGTCTACTTATATTTCGTTAGCAATTATTCTGCACAAATTCTGATTAGATCTCCACGCTCGTTTGTTCTCTGAACGGTTGTCAGACTTTTAGTTTCTTCATTGTCTTTTTTCAGTAGTTTTTTCCTGTTCTTTTGCATACTTACTTCAGGAAAGTCTGCTTTTCTCTGTGTTGCATCAAAATCTGAGCCACCGCTGCTACCTCGACCATCTACTCCATTTTTCTGACCATCCTCGACCATATGATTAATAACGGCGTCGGCGATAATTCTAAATCTTATATATTAGGTCGTTCCGAAAGTTCTTTCCGTTTTTTCAACCTATCATAAAAACACGTGGAATAAGGATAGAAGAACGCTTTAGGCACTATCCGATGCACCTTTTCTTCCTCTTTTCAATGGTCGTATTCATGTGTCGCTAGCTCTTGTGGTCAGTGAGATAATGACCGAAATGTCAAACCTATGGTTTTTACCATGCCCAACTTTGGCAGTTTTTCACAGTCTTCTTTTTTGACTTTTGGAAGAGCTTTGATAGCAATCGGATAGAGTAAACAAAGTGCAATTTAATATAATTTTTTGGCACTTCCAGTTAGCTTCTCATTATTTTTTGATATAACTTTTCCAGAAGTCTCCACTTTTTCGAAGTCACAAAACACACAAACGCTTCAAACATTAACAAATCTTCGGATTTCGACACTTTCAAAAGTAGTTTATGATTGCCCACTATTTTTACAAAGTAAATGAGTGTTTACCGCTTCAAAATATAAGATTTCGCTATTCAAGTGTATACCCTTAGGCAGGTTCAAAATCAAGAATTATGGAAATTTTACCGCCGAAACCCCGCACAAATTGGGAAGAAAAATGCTCAGTAGAAAGAGGAAGAAAAGCTGCATCGAATGACACTTTAGATGTGCGCCGTTTTATATTCTGTGGTTCTTAGCATCACCAAAAGTGGAATTTGATAGCATCAGAAAAATAATTCTAGAAAAAATTTTAAGGTTAGCAATAGATGCCAAAAAATTCCATTGAATTGCACTTTGTTTACTCTATCCAAGTGCTATTAAAGCTTCTCCAAAAGTCAAAAAAAAAGATTGAGAAATTTTGTTAAAGTTGGACATGGTAAAAAACATGGGTTGGAAATTTCGGCCATTATCTCACTGACCACAAGAGCAAGCGACACAGGGATACGACCGTTGAAAAGAGGAAGAAAAAATGCATCGGACAGTGCCTGAAGCGTTTATCTACCCTCATTCCACGTGTTTTTATGATAGGTTGAAAAAACGGAAAGAACTTTCGGAACGACCTAATATAAAGCTGAATGTGTGTGTGTTTGCATGTATGTACGTATGTGCTGAATAGAAAGTTTCATTTTTGAACCGATTTGGACCAAACTTGACACACATATACTTTGGGGAGGGAAGCGTGTTATAGGCTACTTTTCGTTGTCGTTCGATATCGATTTTATCGATCTTCATCGATTTTTTTGCAGAGTTCACCTATGGGGCTGGGAGTTGGCACAGGGGGGTAAGTGGGCATGGCGATTTCGAATACAATATTAGTTTCCAGAATTATCCATTACTTTTATCGATTTTATCGATTTTTCTTGCAGAGTTCGAGCTACGGGCCTGGGAGTTGGCACAGGGGGTAATCGAGCATGCTGATTCCAATACAATATTAGTTCCCAGAACTATTCATTACTTTTATCGATTTTATCGATTTTTTTTGCAAAGTTCGAGCTAAAGGGCTGGGAGTTGGCATAGGGAGGTAAGTGGGCATGCTGATTTCGAAAAAAACACAAGGAACGGGTAAGTGTAGAAGTGGGCAATAGGGAAAGGCTGTAAAGGGGATGGGACCTTTATTACAGTGTTTTGACAGCGCCGAGCAGAGCCAGGTAAGCAAACTAGTAGTATTTCTAATAAGCAAGCAATTACATTCAGTATGCTGAAAAGTTCTCCAAACTTGCTGACCTCACTCCAACGTTGTTGCATCTGTTGACCATATCTACAAACTCGACCTCGGTCCCGCTACGCGACCTGAGTTTGTAACTGACGGGCTGATATCTGTAGAAGTTAGACTAGTTATTAATTCGAGTTAGTTACACCGAACCAACCTAATCCACCATGGCATGTCATTGTTTTTAGTCAAAGTGATATGCTCATTAGGAGGTGAGATCTAAATTAGTGACTGCACAACTTGTCTGTGAGCATATAGAGCTTTTTACTGTACCTGTACGGCACCGTAACCGTAGTATGGTAAAAAGGTCTCACACTCCTCAGCTATGTCTTTCCACTTCCACTCAAACAGTTGGACTATTACTTGCTTATTTAGCAAAGTGTCAATATCCTCATAGCTTAATATGTCATAATTCAAGATTTCTCAGATTTGAAGAAAGTGATTAACTTACGGATCAGCAATGGTCATAGAAAAAAGGAATGGTAACATATAAAGAAAGTTACCCATGTTCAAGAATTGACGTTGTGTGAATACTACAACAATACAGAGTTCAGCGATGTTTACGAAGGATACTTGAGAGATATAAAAATGCTATTATAGCAGTAAATTTTTGAAAAGGATTATGTACATTTTGGAAACATTCTTTCATTATAATCCATGTGATAAGAAACTTTTTGATGGAATTTGCACAAAAAGGAACACCCATTACACTGATAATGGCACTATGGGGTAACTCTATTTTGGGGCTTGCTGTGCAACTAACAAATCACGTATACACTTTCGGAAACTTGGCAAACAATCTCCGTAAATATTCACTTTTTGTCGACGAAGTACAAAATAACGCTTCAAATGACTGCATCGGTTAACGTGCTGTTGTAATGATACCTTTCAGGATTCCGAATTCATCTAAAATATTTAGGTTTGTTCATACTTAATGCACGTTTTTCCTACCTCTTCTTTTAAACGCTATTTTTCAATCAAAAATCATTTTTTTTCATTGACCTATCGGAAAGACCGTTTCTTTTAAGTTCTGATAAACACTTTCGTTTTTGGAGATCTTTGTTCAGGCAGAAGTTCCGTACCTCTAAAGGTGAGGAACTCAAACTTGAGATTTTTCCCTGTCATTCGACACGCCCTGAATCCATAAAAAATGCTTAGATTTGCTTCAGAAAATATATGTTACTAGCTGGCATACCCGGCTCCGCCGTATGTTCCGAATAGAAAATTCCATTTCTTAACCGATCCGAACCAAACTTGGCACACACACACTTCGGGCCCCGGCGGGTGTCACAGTCCACTTTTCGTTATCGATTGATGTCGATTTTATCGATTTTTTGCAAAATTTGAGCTAGGGGGCTGGGATTTGGCAGAGGGGTAATCGAGCATGCTGATTACGAATACAATATTAGTTTTCGAAACCGTGCATTACTTTTATCGATTTTATCGATTTTTTTTGCAAAATTCGAGTTAGGGGGCTGGAATTTGGCAGGGGGGTGCAATCGAGCATGCTGATCACCCCCACGGGGGTGATCAGCATGCTCGATTACCCTCCTGTGCCAAACCCCAGCCCCGTAGCTCAAACTTTGCAAAAAAATCGATAAAATCGATAAAAGTAATGCACGATTTTAAAAACTAAAATTGTATTCGGAATATGCTCACTTACCCCCCTGTGCCAACTCCCAGCCCCGTAGCTCAAATTTCGCAAAAAATCGATAAAATCGATATCGATCGATACGAAAAGTAGCCTATGACACCCGCCGGGGCCCGAAGTGTATGTGTGCCAAGTTTGGTCCCGATCGGTTCAGAAATGGAATTTTCTATTCGGAACATACGTACATACATACAGACATACAGACAGACATACAAACAGACATTCAGCTTTATATATAAGATAATCTCGAAGATTTATAATATACTACAAAATGCTTACCAAGGCCAAGTTCTTTGAAAATCTTGAGCCGAGAAGCTTTGACTCAGACTTAGCTGAACGCTATAATCACTCGGAGCTTTATAAAATGCTTACTTGAGAAGCAATTACAAAACCTTCACTTGGTTCCGGTGGAGTAAACCAAGGGATACTAATGATAGGAAAACGGCAGAATCTCGTTTTTCTAATGAGAAAAAAAATTAGAAGAATTTAAAAAACGCAGTTTTTTGCTTTCTCCAAAATGCAGGAGAAAATGGTATCTTTGCTTCCATGGCAATATTTTTTTTTTCGCATGAAGTCTTCAGTAAAATCCAAGTCCCACCCTACTATTGAATCGACCACCAGCAGCTACACAATGAGCAAAGTTTGCTTCATTCTAGTCTCTTGGAGAGTAAGTTATGCTCTTTCAAACTAGAACTTTCCAGAAAAAATTTTCGGTAAGTTTTAAGCCTGAAAATCTTTCCCGTGGTGATACAATCACACAAAAGTATACGTTGTATAGCTCAGTGCCTCAGAAAGATTGTTTCGGAAAAGAATTATCTTTATTAGAAGGGGAAGTTGAAAAAGCGTGCATCAATTATGAAGCAACCTAATATCTCAGACAATCGCTGGGGGCAGGCGGCACCGGAAAAATATATTGCTGATTTCTCGCACCCCGCTCGCGGGTTTTTTGCAAAGCAATCAGGACTTTTCGGAAGGCTTGCTGAGTCAGCGGATTTTTGAGAGAGACCGCCTGTTGAATTTTTTTTCGCTCTTATCTTTTGCAGATATATTGCTGAATCTCTGAGGAATCAAGAACTCAGCAAGCGGTCTTCCGGAAAGTCCTGATTGCTTTCCAAAAAATCCGCGAGCGGGGTGCGAGAGATCAGCAATCTATTTTTCCGGTGCCCGCCTGTCCCCGGCGATTGTCTGAGATGTAGCTGAATTTCTGTCTGTTTGTGCATCTGTGTGGGTACGCATGTCCAAATAATTTCACTGAACCAATCAACCAGCCATACTTTGCATACACTATAGGGAAGAACGGCATCGTAGCTCATTTTTCACTAATCGATCATGATCGATTCAATTTTTTAGCAAATTTCGACCTACGGGTCTGAGAGGTTGGCAGTGGAAGTGAGTAAGTGGGCTTGTTGATTACCATCAATGTAGATTTTCAGAAGTGATCGTCTGAAATGCAAATCTTTGTACCTTATTGTGAATTTTTTGTAAACTTTGAGCTGAGGCGCACGGAGAAGATACAGAGGATCAAGCTAGCATGGTGATTACTAGTGGTGAGAGGACTGTCATACGGAAAATAGGGACAAGAAGATTGGGAATGGTAATCCTTATCGCAATGTATTGAGGGGGCTGGACGTATGATAGCTAATGGTCGTATGCAATTATTCGTTTATAGACTCGAGCATCAACAAATCTGATTTCGGATTTCTGCAAAATTATTAGGTTGGCACATAGGTTTTGTAACTTTTCCCACAAATTTTTTCAAATTCAGTGTAGCACTTTCATTCTCTGCATCATGTAGACGTAAGCTGCAAGTCTGCGTCAAACCGTTTGATTTTTGAAAACGTAATAGAAAAAATTTTAGCATATTTCGAAAACCCTTGTAACTTGAGGTTTCAAGGTTTCTTGGCAAACATGAAGCCGCCAAATCCTGAATGAAATACAGTTTGTCCCAAAAAAATGTGCCTACTCTTTGATTGTAAATAACTCTTTTGTGATAAAGTGTTTCGAGAAGCTTTGAGAACCGTTTTGTAGAGCGAGGTTAAACTTAGTTTAACTGTATGGAGCGAATCATATGTCGCTTTTCATTACTGTAGGATTACGGTGCGAACTTCGACAAGGATTTTAGGTCTTTGGAGACTATATTCTGCCTTGGAACAAAACCAAACAAGCCAAAACCTCCTAGACTACGGTAACGGGAGCCGCTGATTTTGATAAAACTCCCATTGCACTGTGATTAGAGTTTTATGATGCACTCTTTCCTAATTTATCCCCGGTAAACCGTAATAACTCAATTCCCAGTTTTTGTCAGAAATGCAATTACACCGCCAAAAAAGCTGAAAACACTCGTAAAAGTTGTTAGGTGAAATCAGCATGCGCGAAAGCCCTAGCACGATTTTTAAGAATTTTTGAAAAAAATTTTCTTAGGTGGTATATTTCACAGTGGTTCCGTGTGCTGGAGTTGCTACCGTAATCCTACAGTAATGAAGACGGTAGATGATTTACTCCATACTGTTAATCTAAGTTTGATCTCGCTCTACAAAATGGTATCTAAAGCTTCCCGAAACACTTCATTACAAGAGAGTTATTTACAATCAAACAGTAGGCACATTTTTTTGGGACACCATGTATATCAAGAAGGAATTATAGACAACACGTAGCTCGAGCTTGACATATCAGAATCAGTAAAATAAGAAGTGTTTGAAGGCAGTTGAGATAAGGCGCTTTTGAGAGATAGAACAATTCAAATGCGTCAAATTTGAAGGGTAACTAAGCTACGAAACCTCAGAGCTCCCTAAAACCTTGCACATTAGGGTAATCCAATACGGTAAACACGAATATCCTACTCACTTGTCGCTAAGATAAAACTCATCAGTTGTTCTTACGAAAGAGGCCTTTTCATGCAAAACGAGTCTTAGTTTTGTGATCAGCATGTGCAATAACATAGGCCAAATTTCAGCAAAATCTGACAAAATCTAAGAAAATTTTTTTCGTAATACCATGAACCGACCGTAACAATCACATAGGGTGACAAAATTCGGCAAAAATGTCTGCATTTGCAGTTTACATCATAATCCTTATATTGCCAGAACATAAATGCGCTGACATGCAAAGTTGCATTCTTGTGTGCCAACCTAATATGTATTCCTGTTGATTTGATCTCCAAGCCAAACTGAGGCCCTTTTTGCAATTCCCATCATTTGAAGCCTAAATTCGGAAGAATTAGGAGAAACCATATCGCAGTGACACTATGGAGGAAACCATTTAAAGCATTCCACTTACACAACATATCAATTTGCAGCCCGCACTGGACTGGAGGAGGCGGAACTTTATCTTGTTACATACCCACTTGACCTCAAATGCAGTGCAGAGGTAGGAAAAAAGTCCTCAGATCCTAATGTAGTCCGCTGTTTAAAAAAACTAACCTCATGATAGGCGCTAAATTCGCCTATTTAGTGTATGTGTTTATCTGTCTGTAACGAATTCATAGAGCGACTTATAGCAAAGGCTTCGAATTGGAATTTTGTTCAAAACGCCCTATCAGCACGCAGGTAACCTACACAAAAGCACAAGCCGATTCGATGAGCGGCTCTTGGAAACTGTGTACAAAGGAATTCACGCGACTTTCAACCAACCAAAGTGGGTGGTAATTAGGCAACGTCATGGATTTGTTTGGCAAGTAGGTCCGTAAACCATGGACTTCGGACCAAAAGTTGAGCAAAAATCTACTTTTGCGTAAAGACTGCGGCAAAAAAGTAAATGCGTAGGTTGTTGAGTTTTCTAAGTCTTATGAAAATCCAATAATTCTTGCTCAGAGATGTAACTCACGGTGGACTTTTACTTATGCGACTATCAAGCCAGGATAAGTCCAATAACCAATTCAAATTCACATTTTTTGGAAGAGACTTTCTTTTTCCCAAGTTCCGCTCTAGGAGATTTTGAAATACTTATTTCAATGTTAATCTCAACTGATTTATTTTGTTGAAAGTGAAAAAATCTTTATTGGATTTTTTATCACGATTAGCGCAATTAAAAAGCGAGGAAAAAACTCCCGGTTGAGAATATATCGCAGAACACTTCTGACTTGAATCATATTGCGAAGTAAATTTACCTTCAACGAACTACTTTTTTTCAGTTTTTTCCTGAATTTCTACCATTAGTTGTGCCCAGGCAAGCATTTGGATTCTTAAAAAGCTTTTTTTCAGTTAGATTGAAACATCCTTGAGTGTTGCCAAATTCAGGTTTCATAAAAGCCGCAAATCATTCATGCAACTCCTTCAATATTATCCACAAAAGCAGTCCGAACAGTACATGCGAACTTAACTAATTTGCGATGTTTCTAACTTACCTGTTTTTCCAGCTGATGGCTAACGTTCAGCTTCTGTAATTCCCACTTCATCCCTCATCAGAAACATATGCACAACTATTCAATTAATGTTGGTACCATCATTGACTGTAAACATACTTCATGTCATTCAGCTTGAGTTAAGCGTTCTCCCTTCTATTAGAGATAGTAACAGCATATCTTTGCATTTGAATTTCTTGCTTATCTAAGGTTTGTTTTGCCGAATCCGATCTTTAGCCAAATCAATCAAACAAAGCTTTCTTATAAAAACCTCCTGTGGCTGTATTCATGAACAGAACCCAGTAGGTTAGCCTACCAACTGAGTAAGCTAAACCAATTCGTTAGTGAATACTGACTATTGGTTAGCTTACACACTAGGTAAGCTAGATCATTGATGAATATGGCGCCGGGTAGGCTAATCCATGAGCTTTGTGAATGCCGACCAGTGGGTTAACCCTTACCACCGGGTAGGCTAACCCACTGCGGCCGTATTCATCAACGAAACCCGTGGGGTCCGTGACCCACTGGCTTAGTGCTTTTGATAAATATCGATTCTTCCCTGGAGCAGAATCGATATTCATCAAAAGCACTAACCCAGTGGGTTCCGGAACCCACGTGTTTCGTTGATGAATACGGCCACTGGATTCGTTGATGAATTCGGCCACCGCACTGCAATCAGAGAAAGGCCAAAAGCACGGCCAACCTGGCCTCCTGGAAAAGTCTGGAGGCGGTGGCGTCCATGATCGACTCCTGCGTTGATCAATTATAAACGGAAGAAGTTTCTGCTGGTCGTCAATACCTTGTTCTACCGTGGCCAAGGTCCCTACAGCATCTCCCCCAGATGTGCTCAGCTCAGCCGACAGTTCTTGCTTTGAGCGAAAACTAAGGAAAGTTGATTTGCATCAATTTTGAATCTCTCTTGAAAGTATCTGTTTATCCTTTTTCAGCTGAACTGCAACACCTGTCAGCTTAGTCTTTCGGCAACACAATTATAGTTTATCAACGCATACTAAAGTCTATAATGATTTTTCTAATTTCTAATTTTATGAAATAGTATTGAAAGTGAATGATAATACCTCTAGTTCAATTAGTCAAGCTCAAGAAGCTTGTATATCAAAATGTGGATCTACCTAACTTCATGAATAATCAATCACAGCAGAAAGTTGACTACGGTTTTCTCACGCTATATACTCGTGACCCTCCTACCTCATGACCAATCTTTGTGGATAAGGGTAATTTGGTGATGTAACCGACGCACGCATGGTTTAACCCATTCGCCTAGGCCTCACTCTTTCATGCTGGTACGTATAGTAGGTGGTGTTTAGAAGAAAAGATAGAACAGAGATACAAAAATACATGTGAATTGCCTCTGGGGTGCGTATGGCTTTAGTCCCTCACCTCAGTTATTGCTTACCCTGAATTAATTACGGCTATACATCGTTTGGCTTGAATTTCGATCATAGTGGATGATGATGCACAAGCGACTTACAAACATAGAAAGCCAGTAAGTAGTGGTTAATATTTTATTCTGATATCATTGTGTCGTATGGAAGTAAGGTAGTGTTAAACTGACTATACCTGATTGACAGTTGTATTGAATCTTTCGCGATTCAATTGCTTTCATTTTATCGTTTTGTTGAATTATTGCCGCACCGGGTGCAACAGTAAATAAATAGATAAATTAATATTACTTGCGATTTACAGGATAGTTAAAAAGAGTTCCGCCTTCATCGCAAAGTTCAAGGTACCGGCGATAGCAATCAGCTTCGCAAGTTTGTGCTTCGCGTATGTTGTAGAAAAAGGGTAAAACAAGATTACTCTGATATCAGTTTTGGCATTGTGCCATTTCTTCGGGCCTCTTAACATCAACGACTTGGAAGCGTAGAAATCCCTACGGATGTCGCCAGTAAAGCCCTCTTGTTCAACACAGAAGGAAGGTTCAGCAGAGGACGTTTATTACGACGTATCTTAGGCTGTGACTCCAACCGAATGTTTTGAAAAATGACATGATGATTCTTTTCGCATTCTCTGCCTTACAGCAACTTTGCGGGATTTCCAGTCTGCGCTTCTCCAACTCT